ATGCTAGGACATGTATGAGGTAACAAAAGTGACATGGCAGCCCTAATTTGGATGGAGTCCACACAGAACATCACCAAAGTGATTTTTGTCCTGTCAGTGCACGGTAATACAACCCTTTACACGGTGTCAGTTAGAGCTGCTGAAGTAAGAGTGAAGTGTTAATGTACTCACCTAGCAGTTGTACGAACCTTTCAGGAGTGCAAATAAAACCACAAAGGAGCTGAATCTTCTTCACAGAATGAGAATCACAGAATGGTTGGGGTTGGAAGGGACCTTCAAAGGTCATCTAGTTCCAACCCCCTTCCAATGGGCAGGGACATCTTGAGTTAGATCAGTTCTGGCTCCTGCTGCAGTCTGGAAGAGACAGCCTTCGGGGATACTGCGCCTGGTCTGCTGTCTGAACCAGCTTTTGCTCCTTTTCCCTGTCGTGCATGCTTCCCCCCTCTTCTTTTGCCTGTAACCTCTTCTTCTACCACCCTTACTCTGCTAAAGCTCTTTACAACTCTGCTATTTCCATGCCTGAGCCCATGCTCTAGCACTTGTATAACACCACATTTAAGTATATGTATGAATGCATGCGCACACATATTCTAAAATCCAAACATCACACATCAAGCAGGATATAGAGCAGCCTATAAATACCTGAGTGGGTAATGATGGAACCCATTCCTGTAGTTCCTTTTGCCAACGAATGGCTTTAGTTTAACACAGTGTTTTCTTCACAAGTGGAGAAAAAAAGGCAACAAAAAACTGGGGTCCTTCAGCAAATGGCAGCTGCTGTTTATATGGAAAAACATTGTTAAAGTGCTACTTACTAGTTCTGTCAAAACAAGGAGAAAGTGGTAATCCTGTGGACAACAGCTCTGGAATCTCTGCAGCACAGCTGTGCAGAGTTTAAAGCCAGAGAAGAAATAAAAATCTCCTTAAGATGATGTATTCAATCCTGTGTTACATAGGCCAGAAAAAATCCTATCCCATCATTCTTGCTTGCAAGCCTCGGGAGGACAGGTCATGTGTACTATTATTGTTTGCCAGTGTGCAATAATGCTTTCCTGGAGCACTTAAGACTGTTCTCTCATCTTACTAAAATGCTGTCCATCAGCTCTTTATTTCCAGACTTTTCTAAAGCAGTTAGTCAGCACAGTTATAATAAGCATGGTTATAAATACCTTTGTGGCTAGAAATGTTAATTTTAAAACAAATACAGCGACTTGTTAGAATTTTCTCGCTTACACATTTTAGTCCACACGTTCCTTTCCAATCAAGCATTACACAGTCGAGCTCGTAGCAGCGTGATGGCTTGAAAACATAGTTTCTGCTCCAGCAGCCAGGTTGCCACAAACAGATCAGTATTGTGGCAGAGGTATCAGTGAATATGGTTGCATGAGGAAAGTAGGACCCTAGAGTTACAACCATGTTAGGAATCTCTGGCTACATCACAGCCCCTTGGGGGTCCACAGTGCTCCTACATGCAGATAGTGCTCCTGTAGCTCATCATGTGGCATCACTGAAACCAGCTTAAAACTGTGTGACCTGCAGCATCTGTATTTATAAACCTGGCTCTTCTGGGTCTGGTCCTAAGCCCACTGACATCAATGACATACACAGACTGCCAAAGGATGTGTATTTCATGAGAAAAACTATCTGTTCATTTCGGTGCACATGGAAGATGAAACAAAAACATTTAAGACAGTTGGAACAAAAGGAGGACTGTGTTTAGGGTGTTATTTGTCTGTGCAATCACAAAATGGTTTGGGTTGAAGGGACCTTAAAGCTCCTCCAGTTACAACCCCCTTGCCACGGGCAGGGACACCTTCCACTAGAGCAGGTTGCTCCAAGCCCCTGTGTCCAACCTGGCCTTGAACACTGCCAGGGATGGGGCAGCCACAGCTTCTCTGGGCACCCTGGGCCAGCGCCTCAGCACCCTCCCAGGGAAGAGCTTCTGCCTCAGAGCTCATCTCAATCTCCCCTCTGGCAGGTTAAAGCCGTTCCCCTTGTCCTGTCCCTACAAGCACTTTTAAGAAATCTCCCTCCAGATTTCTTGTATGCCCCCTTTAGAGTCCCCAGCACACTGCATTGCAGCATCACAGCACAGAATCATAGACTAGCAGGTTGGAAGGGACCTCAAGCATCATCTGGTCCAATCTTTCTATTGAGTTACTATCAAGATACTGGGGTAGTTACTGACAGCACAGCACGAACAGCTTCACCAGGGGCGACCATTCCCCATGAACTGGAGACAGGACCCCATACTGTCTCTATGGCACAAGCCTGTAAAGCTCCACCCATCAAAGCACCTCAGAATACAAAGCCTTGGTGAAGAGCCCTGAACCATGTGTGTCCTGTCAGGTGTATAAACCATCAATTTTGAACTATGAGTGCTGAACACTGCCCCTCACTCCCACAGCCATAAAAGATAAGGTTTTTTGGATATATACCAAGACATCCAAAGGGTCTGAACCAAAGATAGACACAGGTCCTTAAGTATCATGCTTTAAGTTGTTCCATGAAATAATTAGGATTTTAGGTACTTAAAAAAAAATCATTTATTTTAGAACACGGGCTGCTGAGCCCCCGATGGGTTTGTATTTATATTTCAATATGAGTAGGAAAAGCAGTGGGGTTCTTTAAATGTAATCTTTTACCCACCAGCTCCCACTGTGAGCAAGATAATATTGTGCTCAGACGCCCAACAAGTCCTCTAGTTACAGACGATGGAAGAGTCATTCTCTGAAATCCTGTTCAACAAGTCCTAATAAAGCTCTGATCAGGCCCCATGGTCAGCCTAACTCCGATCTCTCTGGTGCGATGCTGGGTTACGGTGCGCTCCACGGGAAAACATCAAGTGTGGCCTTTGCCAATGGCGACAGCACCCTCATGTGGAAAACCAAAGTCCCTGCACACGCAGCCTGGCTTGCTCTGATCAACTTGCAAACATCAATGAAAGCAGAGTGCTCCTGCCTGATGTGGCACACACTGAGTTGGACTCATCTGCTGAAGAATACAGCCTTAATAGTCATAGAAGCACAGAATGGTTTGGGGTGAAGGGACCTTAAAGCTCATCCAGTTCCAACCCCTGCCAGAGTCAGGGACACCTTCCACTACAGCAGGTTGCTCCAAGCCCCTGTGCCCAACCTGGCCTAGTCCATCTTCCCACCACCGAACCTTACCTCAGTTACAGTGTGGAAAACACTCAGATTCAAGTTGCTCTGAGTAATGACTCTCTCAGGATCTCCTCATCCTACCATCTTGTACTTCTCAAGCCTAAGGATCCCAAACCCATTATATTTCAAGACCGGGACACAGGATAGCCATGGGATTAGTTCATCTGCTCCTGAAGTAGATCCTGTTTATGAAGGAAGCAGGAGGCTCTCTTCAGTAGAGTCTGCAATTCCTCAGATGTTGAGAACTGCATGGATAGTTCAGGGAAGAACACATAATTAATTACACCCAGTATCTGACAAGAGGCAGTTGCTAACTTGACTGTCTTTTTGAACTTGCCTGTCTGATTACCACTTCATGTCTTTGTCAAAGCAGAGTAAGTTGGCAATTGGGAAGGAGTCAGCAGCAGCAAACTTACAAATCTACTTCCCTGGAGATTATGCTTAGCCATGTGGTTATGGTGAGGCAGTGAGGGTGACAGTGGATAGATATGGCGAATGCCACATTTGAACTTCTCAACTACCGCTCTCGGGTGTCCTGGAGGATGGCGCACAATGTCCGGCCCCTGCTCCCACAGCCAAAGAGCCAGGACAGAAGCTGCTGCTGGGAATCTTCTACACACAGTGAGCTCTGCACAGTGCTACCAGCATTGCTCTAGCTCCTCACTTTCCCACCTAGAACTCCATCTGCATCTGGCCTCTCCAGTGCCCGCTCTCAGTCACAGTGTTTCCTTGATGCAACAGCATCAACATAACAGACAATGAGAAGTGAGAACATTTGCGCAAACAAAAAGGGAAGCAAAGATTGCAACAGCAAGCAACTTCAGCCCTTCTATATTAAGTTTAAACTGAAGAAGACTGTAAAGTCCAAAGTCCCAAATACCCATCTGGGAAAAAGATGGGCCTGAGAATTTGTGTTACCTATTGATACTCTAAATCTGAGCCAGGAACACAGCTCAGTGGCAGCATTCTCTTTCTACCCCATACAGCCATGTATGTACAAACTCTGTGATTAAATATCCTGTTGGCAGCAATGGCCTAGTTCAGTACAGAAAGCTGTAAAGACAGGAAAAAGTTTAAGACTTCAGCTGTTTCCTATATTTGACTAAGTAAATGCCTTTTAGGAGCTGCAGCATTTACTACAGCCACATTAAAAGCAGGACTGTATCCATCCACTAAAGTACTCATTAACAGCTCAGCGTAAATTGCCATCTTTATCCCAGTTTTCCCCTCAAGAGGCAACAATATTCACTAGGTAACAAAAAATAACCAACTATCCAAGTGTAGAAAGTCCTCCCGACAAAACCCTTCACCGAATCCAGTAATTGCACAAGAAAGAGATGCAAGGGTAGGCCATGGACAGCCTCTCTGAGGACAGGGTGGGTGGCAAAAACATTGACTGCTGACAGTTACCATACCAGCTGAGCTTTCCAACTGCACTTCTGGTCGTTTGAAGTAAAAAAGTAATAGTCATTTTAGTTTGGGGAAAATCCTAATGAAGAGAATCATGCTGATGAAAATAAAGCAAACTACAATTAACATTATCCATAAGAGCCAGTTGACTGATTTCTTTGCATGCTGTTCCAGGCGGTCAGATTCATCCTTCAGCTTCTCAAAGTTCTGGTCTGCCATCCTGAGAGAATGTGAGAGTGTCTGTGGAGCAAAGAGAACAAATGGCTTCAAACCCAGATGTGGAAGTTCTGGCCACTATTTCTTCCAGCAGAGAAAAGGTTCATCTGCACTACAGAAGCAGACAGGGACTGCCTCCAAGTCTTCCCCCTCTAATCTCACCTGGCATCAAGTTATAGGTAGAGTATTTAACATATTAGCACTTAACCTTTGAGCTGCAAAACTGAGAGGTTAGCACTTGAACGTGCCCTACCTGATTATCTTGTTTTATCACGTTCTGTGCAGCCAGAGTGTTGTTTTTGAGACTGCGAGCCAAACTCAGCATTTCCTCAGCTAATTTCTCCTGCATGTCCTGATGATGCTGCAACATAGCATCCAGCTCCACTGCTGACTGCTTCTCGTCAGATACAAGGCCTCTGCAAGAGTGTAAGGGGAAAACACTGGGATTTGGACTTCTTTGAGGGTTGATGTCCAAAGGTGTCCCCAGACTCTGCAACTCTGACAAGAACAGTTAGATCAGTTGCAGTCATTATTTTTTAGTTTCTACCAGCAGCATGTCCCAAAATGGAAGTACATCTGGGATTGGGTCATTGGGAAAGCAGTTCCCAGAACACTGAGCATCAGAATGAGAAATTTTGACTTACTTCCGCTTCCTTATGTTTAAGTCCTCAGAATCTGGAGGGGAAAAAAAGAAAAATAAATAAATGTGTGTTTTAGCATGTTATAAATTCCCATGCAATCACAGGTTGAAGAAACAAGTCTTCTATAAGGGATTTTCCAATGTCCAAATCCTACTTGGCCCTCTGCCCCCAAGGAACATGGATTTCAAATGCTTACCTGCTGTCCATAGGGAAAAGACAACACAGAACATCAAAAGCAAGGTTGAAAGAAGAAAAATCTCAGATGAATCATATCCCTAAGGGCCTGGTTTAAGCCTATGTGCCTTAGTGTTCTCTCCCAGGACACGTTAGACTGGCCTAGCTCCTACCACTGCAATAGTGGCTACAGAAACTGCAAATTAATTCCTACCAATTGCCTACGTGAATAACATGGCTGTGTATTTAGGAGGAATCAAGCAATACCTACTTCTAAGCTCCTAAAATCACACAGTTTGCTCAGAGCAGTAGAAAACAGGAGCTACAATAAAAGGTAAATTGTCCTTGCTAATTCTGTAATTAGAATATCTGTTCCTGTACGAGTTCTAGAAAAATGGGTTCCTATAAGTCCCTGCTACCATAGTGATAACAACACTTTCATCTATCAGGGGGTTTTAGTTTTGTTTGGTTTTAAAATCTGCTGTCTTGAAGAGAAGTGAGCCACTAAATTAAAACAACATTTTGGCCAATCACTAATACGTGACCTTCCTCTTTCTCTCCTTGTAAGACTCAGGTTAACTAAAGCTAGACAAAACAACAGATTAAACTTACCATCTATAGCCAAGGGGTCCTCGGAGGCAAAAAGAGAAAGAAAACACAATATTATAAAGGGCCAACGATAAAAGTCAGTCCTCCAGGCTTAGCATAGTACATGTGCCCAGTATTGAAACTATTCAAACCAGAGAAAGGTGACTCCCCACCCAGCCTGGGACACATCTGAGGCACAGCCACCAAAGGCAGCAGAATGCAACAAGAGACAATCTATGAAGTAGCAGTAAAGAAGCAGCAGCAACAAAACATACTGTACCAAGCAGCTCACTCCTCATTTTGCCTGTGCAACGAGCCTTTGTTTGCAGATGAACTGTTTTGGTAGCTGGGGTTCTCTCTTTAGTTGTTGTAGGGGTGCGTCCAGGGGCCAGGAACTGATTTGCCAGAGCCTTTTCAGTTGAGGAAGGCTGTGAGTAGGAAGAAGCAATGAGAAGTCATGAATATCACATACTGCAGCATGAGGCTGCCGGGGATGTGACCACAAGGATATGGGAGCTCTTCCTCAGATGCTGTCCACAGAACAGCGAGCTCAGTCTGAACAGCAGCTCTGCCTGGACCCACACTAACTGCAGCACAGCTTGTTGGCATTACAGAGCCCTCCTGATGCACGTGGTACCATCCAAACCAGGGCTGAGGCCTAAAGGACAGTACCTGTCCCTGTATCACACATCAAAGAGGCGAGAAGGATGTAGGGAGGATTTACTTCGCTTTTGAAGAGGAGGAAATAAGTTTCTCATTCCATTCCACACCTCCTTTCTAACAAAAGGCAAAATCCAACCTATTTATTCACATTTTTACACGGACTGCCTACAAAGATCTTAATAAGTGTTACTTTGAAACATAAAATAAAGGCAAACATAAGAACCAGGCAATAAGGTAACAATAAACAGAGAATACAAGTTTTTACAAGCCAAACTAGTCGATCTTACCAATTTTTCAGCTTCCAAAAGCCCCTTCAGGAAGTCCACTTTGCGCGAATACTCGTTCAGCAGTTCTGGGGCTGGCTTGCTATCAGCAATGAAAAAGAGTCATATGAAAACCAAACGTTATGAGGATTTTTAATTGCTCGGGCTGCTTTCCCAAGAAAATAAATTGAAGAAGTGTCCCAAGACGTGGTTCTTAAACAAGCATTTTTAATAACAAGCCCACACGAGACCCACACCCGGCGCAGGGTTCAGAGCACGGCTCACCTGGGCTGCTTCTTCAGCTCCCGGAGCATGTCTTCAAGAGCAGCCACATACTGAGGAGAAAAAAAGCATTTAAGCGACAATATTAAGGTGAAATACTCTCTCTGATAAAGGCTACCGCGGCTGAGAGAGAGGTCGCGCTTTTATCACTCCATAGCACTCACTGCCTCAGTCTATTTCGGGGAGCAGAACCGCGCTGCTGCGGGGACAAAGCGGTAGGAGGCTCCC